ACTGCAGGGAAAATTTGCTGCACCGCACCTGGAGCTTACATTTCAAAACTGAAAAATAAATGGCCTTGGCCATCTTAACGCAACTGCAGCTCAGGGAGTTAAATACTTGGTTCATTTCGTGATCCCCTCCAGAGCCTTTGCCTGTGTGACACCTGAGAGCTTGCTATTCTGCAGCCGGCAATTAGCAGCTGTGTGCAGGGGGACACTGTTGCATTTATGTACCGTGGGCTCTGGCTGTGTCGATGCATTCATTTATTGGCGGCATTGTGTGCATACGCATACTGATAAACGTTACACCTATTATTTTCTAAGAGACTGGGTAGCAGTGGAATGCAAGGATCTCTCATTGTAAATGTGAAAAAGAGTTTGATTTTGTTGTGATTGGAAACTAGCTCATATTTGTACGAATTTCTAAAGCTAATTAATGAACATGATTATGCTTCGTCAGTTGGCTTCCTGTCTTCTTCCACACAGGGGCCAAACACTCTGAACAAACTGAACAAAATGCTACTCTAATACTTCTTTCTTTCTTATTCTACACACTTTTACTACTCAAATCATTACTGAATATTCTGTTAAGCTCCATTCATGACTTTTCACATCTTCTTTTTTGTCTCCGTTTATTCCATTTTATACCTGGAACACAACATTAATGCACATTGCACTCTTGCTTGTTGAAGTAAGGGAAAACTCACAAAAAAGTGATCACCTGCTGTTCTGCGTGCAGCTAACCAGTCCTTGTTTGTTCCCTGTTGCACACATCGTGAAATCTTTGGGGAATTATGCTAGGTATAAAGTAAAGTAATTGTAATTTCCAAAACAGGATCTCGAAAATACCATTCATAATAGTCAGAAGTACTGTTTGACTGAAGAGAGTTGGGAGATTTTTCAATCTGAGAGTTAAAAAGGGATCTTCATTGTTTCTGCCCCTCCCATCTGCTGTTCTCTGCAGCTGAAAATGGGGCAGAAAGCCAACATCATGACATTTGAGCAGACAGCAGTTTATGGAAGCGTCTATTACAATTCCACACCCACGCCCTTGGTAGAATGGAGCCTTCTCCCCGGCCATTTCAAGCAGAGCTGCTGCCAGAGTTACAGCTGATTGAGGCTTCATCCCCTGAGTCTGGGATTTGTAGGCACACTCATAAATTTTTCTGTGTAGGTTTTAAATACAGATTCCCCTTCCTCTGCTTGCCTACCCTTCTCACCATCCAAGAAGAAATCAAAAGAATTTCCAAAACACGCCATCAAAGTTTGTCAGCCCTCACGTGCCAGCATTGCTAGTGCTAGGACTGCAGCATCAGAGAACAGAGAGAAACACGGCGATGAATGTGAGCCCTGCCTTTTGCCTCGCTCGGTGATCTTAAACACTGGTGAAACACCTCACAAATTACAGCAAACACGTGAAACCTGCTAGTGATCTCTCAGTTTTGCAGCTGGTCTCAGAAGGGAACAGAATCATTTGAATGGCTGGCTTTTCTAGCGTATTTGTTTGTTTGATTGTTTGTTTGTTTCTCCCCTGTTCTTTTATGACGAGCATTTTCAGCAGTTCTACACGTATCCTTCATCATTCTGTCTGAAATAAATATTAATAGATATTTTTCCTAAATACACACATACATCTAGGCCATATGTAAAGCAGCTATGCATATGTATCCACTCTCCTTTCTTCCATTTAAATTGTGTTCAGTGACTGTTCAGTTCTCTCTAAAGGATGAGTCACCTGGCTCACGCTGGAGTCAGGAATCTAGGCTCCAAACCGTAGCTGCAAAATGATCCAACTGTGTATCTTGATCAGTTGTTTTAAAAAAGTAACCAAATCTCTGTCCTCTACATCTGCGTAAATCTCTGTCTTCAGTCTCCTAAATAACAAGAAAAATGTTATTACTGTTTCTCCTTACATTCTTCTTCCTTGTTTTTGTATTTGAATTAAAAAATAGAGAATAAATACGTGAATACAAGAGGAGCTGAGCTATTTTGGATCGAAAGCTCTAGAAACCGAAGTTTACTGTTTCTTGGTAGCACACGGATGCTAATAAAAGAGCAGAGGTGCTCCCCTCCCTCCACCCAGTTCAGCAGCGATCCAGGAACCGGTGGCGACCCCCTTGTGCAATCGCTGTCCTCATTCATTCTTGGGCTCCTGGAGGGACTAGTGGGACACAGAGGCAGCGTGATCTAAGCTGCCCCCTTAGATACATGTCACGGAGAACATCAGCTGGTGTGCAGAGAGGGCACGGCTCCCTGGTACTGTGAAATGTTGCCTGTATGTAAGCAGTCACTGACAGGGTGACAAAGGATGATCGGTCATGCTCCGGTTGTGTGGCTGAGCAACTGAAGGGGTCTTGATGTGAGTGAACACTACACTCAGTAAGAGTCAAAACAGTAAGTTGTAGGTAAAGCAATGAAACTTTTGCTTTCATATTTAGGCAGACATTGAGGAAGGTGGACATGTTTTCCCTTCATGATAGAGAAAGCAAAGACAATATGTGTAATCCTTAACAGAGTAATTAAACTTTATCAATAAATCTAGTGAGCTTTCAAGTCCCTGGACCTTCATAAGGCTTGAATAAAGAATATCATGAGATGGCTTACTTGTTAGTAAGGGGTTAATCATTCTAATTCCTAGGTCTGAGAGGAAAGATGGAAGTGTAAGAGGAAAAAGATGTGGACTGGCATCTTACCTGAATAGTAGGGATTGCAGAAGTAGAAGTGCTGTCAGAGATAAACAAAGCATGAGGACAGAGTACATACATACTGTGGGAGAGTTCTGATTTAACTGATTAAAAAAAAAAAAAAAGATGAAAGATAAAGACAAATAATTTTGCTATTACAGAGGTGTCAAGAAAGTGGATTGCTACACTGATAAGTTAATTCTGAAGTTGGAAGGGGCATTTTTTTGTTTGTTTGTTTTCCTAAATTCAGTCAAAAGGGTTGTGTGATTCAGTCACACCAGTGGAGGGGATTCCCTCTGGATCTTTATCTCTTCATTACCTGGAGTTTATTGTTTTTTTTTTGCTTTAACTTGCCTCTCGAAGAAACATGATTACTTCTTGTACATCCTGAAGTGTTTTGGGAAGGAATTAGATAATGGGCTGAAGAAAGGTGGGGACTTTCTGGAACACGGAAAGTACCAAGCTGATGATGAACTCAGTGTTTTTCTGGAACTGAAAAAAAGACGTACATGGATTGTAGTAGTATTTTTAGCTATTTAGAGTATATGTGTGCCTGTCTGTCTTTTGGTCTCAGGCCCTGCCAAGACTGGGGAGTTTTAGAAAACATCTCATCGCTTCCTAATACCAAATCACAGTGTTTCGCAAAAATTCCATCAAAGGGGTGTTTAGGGTGCTGCTGGAGCTTTCTTGGCAGATGGTTTTAGTTCCAGCTGAATCAGCACAATCTCTGAACAGGTTCCCTTCCTCTGCCTTCCCATCCAAGATGTCTCAGACTCATCAGGCAGGAGTCCAAGCAGTGGGGACCTCCAGTAGGGCTTAATCTATCAGAAACTGAATTGCTGTGTTGGCTGTAGTAACTCATAATTCAAAGAGAATGCGTTAGAGAAAGTGATATAGAGATTGATTTTAAAAACTCATCTGGCATTGTATCTCGACATTTCTTGATCACTGCAGAGCAAATTGATTCCTTTTATAAATTCTGAAATAATACAAAGCATATTGCTGAACTGAACTGGCATAAGAAAAGCTCCATTGGGGTAGCTCCATTTTGCAGAGTAGGGTTTGGCATCTGAAACCAGTGATGAGAAACAAAAATGGATAAAGGCTGGCTGTAAAATATTGCCACTAGCAGGACTGGGGATTTCTGTTGTTTCATTAGAAATTCTTAACTTATTTATATAATAAATGACTAAGCAGACTTCTCAATAGGTGAGGTGAGTTTTATAGGGAGAGGCAATTTCTTTTATTTGTACCAGTTTGTCTAAGAAAGGATATTCCTTCTTGCAAACCTTGCTTTGCTTTCAGCCTTGGACCATCACAGCTGCAGCAATGCCACTCCTGCGAGACTGAGTTCCCCTGCTGAGACCCATGTCCTGTGTGCATCATTTTCCCAGTCTGCTAAGGAAGAAACTTCCCCGTCTCCCAAATGAGTCATGAGGATAAATTATGTAATTTTTATAAAATGTTTTAATTTGCTCTACTGGAAGGACAAAGACTGATAATTTCATAATATGTAACTACCTAAATGCCATCTGAACTTTTCGGGGGCTTTGTTTACTGGCTGTGATTTTCCAGAGCAGTTTTAAAAGAAAAGATGAGGAATGGTATGCTTGTTCTGGGACCGCATCTTGTCAGTAATCACTACTCTGAGACCGAAGACTGAATTAAGAAAAACGTAAGGGAACAAGCTTAGTTCAAGGGAGAACTATCTTTGTACCAATGTATCCCTTTTATGAAAAGTTAAGCAACTTGTAGCGATACAGCAACTCCAAAAAAAGATTTTTTTTTCCCTTTTCAACCCTGGTGCATCGACACAAAGCCCATTCCTTGTTGATTTTTGCCGCGTGAGCACTCACTAAAAGCAAACACGTTGCTGACTGACAGCTGTCCTTCGAGCTAACGGAGGCCAGATGCGGTGCCATGGGGGAAAGTGGGACCTCACAACAAGGACAAAGTAACCGGGGTGATTAATTTGGGGCTTTTTGGGGATGCAGGTGAGTGATTTAAGGCACTACGTGAGGAAAGCAGCGGGCTGTGGCATTGCGGTGTGTTACGGTCTGTGCGGCCACGGGCTGCTCTGTGGATGTCTGGCCATGAGTGGTGAGTTATTTAGTGATCACACTGACATTTCGGGGGGTGCTTTTCCACAGTATTTGTAACAAAAAATACAAGCTCTGCCGCTGCGCAGCGGCTGTGGCAACGTAAAAACCGCCACGGGGCCGCCGAGGCCTGCAGGCCCTCAGCCCCCGCGGGAGCCGCCGCCTGGCTGCCGGGGCGCTGCCTCTTTAAGCGCTCTGACGTCAGCGCAGCGCAGCCATGGCAACGGCCCGGCCCGGCGGCCGGGGCCATGCGGGCGGGGGAGGAGCTCCGGGCGCCGCGACCGAGCGCCATGGAGGCGGCGGCGGCGGCTCGGTGACACCCGCGGGCCCGCACCGACACCGGCACCGACACCGGGACCAGCACCGGCACCGCCCGGCCCGCAGGTACAGCCCTGAGGGGCGCCCCTCCTGAGGCGCGGGGCTCCGGGGGCCTTCAGGGCCCTCAGGGCGGCGGCCGCCCCCCCCCCTCCCCTCCTCACCCCCCCTCCCGGTTCGGTCCCTCCTGAGGCCGCGGAGCGGGGCTGAGGCGGCCGCCCGGGAGCCTCCGGGCCCGGTGGCGGTGCTGGGGGAAGCCCCGACCCCGCCCGGGAGCCCCGCGGGAGCCCCGCGGCCGCCGCTGCCCCGCCCCTGGCGGGCGGCTCCGTGCTGCGGGCGGGGCGCGGGGAGGAGGAGGAGGAGGAGGAGGAGTGGGGGGAGGAAGAGGAGGGGGAGGACGGGGAGGAAGAGGAGGAGGCGGCAGGGCCCGGCCCCGGGGGGGGAGCTCGCAGCCGGGCGTCGCCGCCAGCAGCGGCCCCAGCGCCGCCGCCTGCAGGTAACGGCCCGGGGGGGCCCGGCCCGAGGGGCTGGGGGGGGCGGGGGGCAGCGGCACCGCCTGGGGGGGGTCTTGGGGCTGTGGGTGGGGTGGGCGCCCTGGTGCTGGTGCTCGCTGCCGGTTCCCTTCTTTCCCCGGCGGCTTTGGGGCCCTGGGACCCCGCCCTGCCCTGCCCCGGTGGGGGGCGGCACGGGGGGACCCGGGAAAAATGCGAAAAAAAAAAATGCAAAGTCACGGGGGGCGAGCCGGCACCCGCTGCCTGGCACCTCGCTGTCTCCACAGCCAGATCCTGTTTCTTTCTTTTTCTTTTTTTTTTTTCAAAATCTGATTTTTTTCTTGCCCGCGCTTCTCGCGGGGGTCATCGCCTGCTTAAATTTTTTTTATTCTCGTCTCCGCCAGAAACTGTGAGAAGCGCCCGACTTGCCTCACGCCGCCAAGTTTGGGGTTTGTTGTAGCGCTGCGCGGGCAGAAGGAGCTCCCGGCGCTTCCTCGTGTGCCTGCACAGGCAGGCGATCGGCGTCCTGCCCTGTGTTGGGCCAGTTGTTGCAGCCCGCAGAATAGCTGCTTTGCCAGGCTCGCTTTCAGTCCTGAAGTAGGACTGTGCTAAGCATGAGCCGTGGAAAAAATTGCTTAGAGTTTAATCTGATTACCTGTCATCAATCTGTGACATGCTCTGAGAGCAGCCCCTGCCCTGTCATTGGGAAGGGCGCTCCGGAGGGAGTAGGCAGGTAACCAGCTGCCGAAACCCCTGGGAAGGCATTGGGAGGGGAGAGAGGCAGAGCCCCCTGAGTCTGGTGGATTTTCTCTGTGCAGTCCAGTTCTGCGCTCTGCTTCAGTCTCTTCCTTGAAAACCCTTCGGCTGTTTTCTGCCGAGAATCTGGGCTGAGAGACGAGGGCAGCTGCGTGGCACCAAGTGATTCCTGGTGGTCACTGCGTCTCCGCCAGCACAGCTCCGTGCTGCTTCGCAGGGCTCCTCGCTGCACCGTGGAGCTGCTGCCGGGGGGCTCGGTGTGCCTGCCAGACCTGCCTGGGCTTTGTGTATGAACAGGGGGGGTCCGGAGATGCCGGTAGTCGTGGCGGGGAGTCGGTGGCGGTGGGAATACGTGGGGATGTGCGCCTGCAAAGTCATCTCGGCGCGCAGGGGAAAACCGAAAACTGCACTGACTGCTGGTGGAAACGCTGGCAGTGATGTAAAAGGTGATCGCTCATCTGACGGTCAGATGACAGGCACGATAGATGGAACTAGCGGTTCAACTGGGAGAACTCAGGAGTAATGCTAATAATAACATCAAGAAATTACAAAAAAAAACACCTTAGATTATGAGGTCTTCTAGTGGGATGGTAGCCTTCAGTGCTTTTTCTGCAGTGTTTGTGATTTTTGTGTGATAACAGTGGTGAAGTTAACTTGTGCTTCCACAGGATGGACTGATTTTTATCTTGGAAGGAGAGGGCTAGGAAAAAGAGGGAGATTCTTTATTTATATATAAATAAATTTTATATTTGTAGAAGTTATATATATATATAATCTCATTGTGTCTAATACAGTAAACACAGGCAATACTCAATTACATATTCTTCAAAATAGTTCTTACAGTAGGTAGTGTGGAAGAGTTAAACAGTTTAATATTTTGAGAGTTAGGACTATAATACTTTTTTTTTTTTTTTTTTTTTTTTTGTTAAACAGTAAACCCACATTTTCATGACACAGGGATGAATTTCTCTGTATTCTGTGAGTTGGCGTGGTCGAAGTGGCCCAGCAAATAACTGGTGTTCTAATGTTTAGCCCTTCCCCAAGCGCTTGAAAAGTTGGTCTTGACTGACTGCTCAGGCCATTTAAATCTGAAGTGGAAGATAGTTGGCTACGAATGTAATCTGTTATATTTATGTTGGATAATGAAAGTTTCAACCAAGTCTTAGTGTTCCCTAGTTGAGCACTAATATAGCTAGTGTTTAATTTGTTCAAGTAGTTTAGTTTTCCACACAGTTTCTAAAGAAAAAACTGGGATTCAAAAACATTAGAAAACATTGCAGAATATTTTTGAATACCGAATTGTGCCTAGTTCCATCCTAGAACATTACGCAACCTTTAAAATGCCACAGAATTTATGAATATAGGCTCCTGAAGGTGAAACAAGAAATAAAAAAAACACAACTATGCAGTGTATCGTAAATCTCCCTCAGTTACTGTCTTCTCTGCCACAGCCATAAATTAAGACTGCGCGTCACTGAAGACAGGGTCACTTGATTTATTGTTTCTAATCTCAGGAGTCACTTTAAAAAGTCTCATCAAGCTGGTAAGAAATGCAGAGTCTCTGAGCTTGCCACACAGTGCTTGCTCATGGAATGTGGATACTTGCGGGCAGTGATAATGCAGTGATCATGTTTTTTATTTAACAGCGTCTGAGAACATCGATACGCAGATTAATGCAATTCCTGAGTGCCTCGAGCATGCTTTATAGAAAGTAAGCATAATGTTGCTAATGAAGAAAAATGTTGAGTTCCAACAACATTTTTCTTCCCTTTAATTGGGTGCAGACCTGTCACTTATTTCATCTGCCGAAGTGTGTAATTAAGGTTGTTGTCGTGTTCTTGTGTGAAACTTCTGTATTTTGTAACCTGGTGTTTTGTAATAGAATTTATGTGAAAGATGCTAAACAGAACTAAAGCGAATGATCATGGAAACCAAGAACATATGCAGTTCTCTTAAGGTTGTGGTTTGATATCTGATACTAGGGCAGAGAGCTTCATAGAGCTTTCTAGATAACAAGAGGCACTGCTACACAAAGCTGCAACTTGTAATTTCAAAAAATCTCTACTGGTTAGGGTTGTGCTGATATGCTCAGCAGCGTGTGAACAACAAAATGTTCTGTGTTCGAAGAGAGAGAGCATGAAAGAAAAGACCAAGAGGTGAACTCCTTCAGGTTTCGAAGGGATCTCAGCTTGGAGGCCATCTGTGTTACCTAAAGGTCTGATCGTTAGGAGTTGTGTAGTTAGTGTGAGGAAATGCCATCCTATGCAGATGAATGAGAGCTGATTTGAAGGTTTAATTAAAAAAATAAAAATAAAAACTATATAGATGGCCATCTAATAGCAAGCAGCTATGTCAGTGAAGACAGTTTCACTTCCTTTAAGATGTCTCAGCTTCCAAAAGCATGTGAAATGCTGACATAGAGTAAAGCAAATTCTGGTTCAATTACTCTAACTCTTGCAGGCTGTTGCCACGTGGAAGGACTTCCCCTGGAAAGGAGGGGAGAGAAAGATGTACCTGGCTGTAATGTAGAGCAGAAGACCTGTTCAGGTCCCACGTATCACATAAAATTAGTTACTTTGAGGTAAGACAGGTTTGTTAATTTGGACAAACTCTCATTTTTTCTTCTTCTTGTGTTGGATGTCAGACAAATATTAATCATATGGACCTTCAACATAAGCCAAGTGTTTGAGTCATAGCAAATGCTGCTGTACTGAAACACTATTAAAAGAGCTGAGTAATGTTAAGATTTAAATTATATTTGTATGACTTTCATTTTAAGCAACATCATAAATCTTAGGATTGAGTGTTTCTCAAATGGGACTGAAGATCTTGGAGCTGCACTTGATGACTGGCTTGGCGTCTTTGAAAAGAACAAATAACCTCTCTGCAGCTGGCTCTGAGAACAACCCCTGGCACTGTTAGGTTTGCTCTCGCAGCACAGTCACCAGTTCAGGTGGTTGGCATCTCCTCTTGCAGGTCTGTGTGCAGGGGCTCCTGTAGGTGAAATTGGTTTTACTTGTTACTGCCCTAAAAGGGCAGATCTGCCACGTGGGCATCAGAGCACACACCCTGAGGCAGTTAGCACTGAGATTCGCTTTTGAAACCAACTGGGAAAGCATCCTAGAGTTTGCTCCTTTGGGGAGTGCTGGGTGAATTTTGGGAAGTGCTATGGGCACCTCTTGGCACTCGGATGTCCTGATGTCTCGGAGCAGGAGCCATGCCCGCCTGCTCCACCAGCATTGCTGTCAGGCTTCAGCAGAACACCTAAGCAGCTTCAGGAGAACTTGCTCTGATTCTTAGAATCATAAAATCGCAGAATATCTGGAGTTGGAAGAGACCCACAAGGATCATCGAGTCCAACTCCTGGCACCACACAGGTCAACCAAAAATTTCAGACCATTCTTGCTGGGTTAATGCATGCATATATTTCTTGCTGCCCTCTATTACTTTTTTCTAATCACTGCTCCTATAAGTTGTATTTGTGTCATTTTCTATTTGGATGGAAATTAAAAAGCAATTTTTGACCTACTTGTATGAACTTAAAATCATGCATTAAAGTAGAAGATGCTTATTCAAGATGTATGAAATGGTTAAAACACATTTAGTATCTGAAATTGATTTAATTAAAAGAAATGATATTGGATTGGAGTCTTCTTCTGGTGGCCCTTTCTGTCGACTAATGGCTTTAGGTGATTGTTCATGTAAACCAATTTTATCCCTAGTTTAGAAAAGGAAGGCGTTTTCTTTCAGATTCTTGATTTAAATTGAGCTCAGTTGTTTCTGAGCTGAAATAAATATTCAGATTGCATATATAGATGGAAT